TTCTTCAGGTCGTTTCGGTGGCTACCGTATATGAAACAAGTAACACACCTCCTGGACCGATTTTAAAAGCTCGATTACTCCACGACGAAGAAGATGAATAAACGAAATGATTCATTTTCAAAAAGATCTTAACCAGACGGTTTCATCGACGCCGTTTTCGGCGCTGTGACTGTTCCTGAAGTTGAGAAATCAAGCTTCGAAAATCGGTCAAGGGGGTGTGTTATCTTGTGTCATATACGGTACACAGGTGGCCATATCTCGGCGAGTGCAGAGGTACAAGCTCGCATTGCGCGGGCGTCAAGACGCCGAAAACAGGCAGACAAGATCGACCTCGAACCAGTCAACGCCAATAATATGGGGATGGAGTGTAGACGCGTCGTAGAACGCGTTTTCGTTTGAAGTTGGCGTCTTGTTTGAGAGTAGGTGTGACAGATTTGCGTCGGCGTCTTTCTTAGTAGTGCGACGAGAAAGGACCCTGGCTCTTGCGGTTGCAGGTNTGTTTCTCTCTTGGTGTGACCGGTGGCAGTATCGATCAGCAATGCCGCACAGACTTTTGCGCGCCGAAATATGCGTGCGACAGCTTTAACCTAACCACTTCGGTGGAAGGCGGATTTCTGTTCGATACCGTGTCAGGGGTACTAGGGAAGACGGGGCCGAGTTTTGTTTGATTTCGGGTGGATGAGGTTGGGGTTTTGTTCGCTTTCTCCATCTATGGTTCGTGCCTAGAGTTCAGCTGTAGTGCTTCAACCAAAGTTTTGTTGACTTAGAGGCAAACATTCCTAGCTATTGGGCATCGAGTTAATTTGGCGTGGCATGACGGCCTTTACGATCGACTTTTATGTATGCCTGCATTTGTCTGCAATTGTCGGAGGGCAAACAAAATAATAATAATAATTATTGGGTAAGATGTTATCATGAACGGAGAAGAAAGGGGTTTTCCAACACGGAGATGTAGCATGGATCAAAGCATTTGTTGGATTTCAGCGTTTACAAGAGGACATCAACGCAGTAGTATTTAAGCAAGCTTACGAACGCATGTAGGATACCATGAGGATTGTCATTGGTTTTATTTCAAATTGAAGAGGAGATATTTTTACGACGTAAGTGACAGTAGAAATAAGTCCTACATATGTTGTTGCACTTTGTATTGGTTTAATATATTCATGTAGAGTATGAGACATTTAGTGAAAGTTTTCTGAGGTACATCTGCAATTGTCGGACGGCAAACAAAGTATTAATAATATTCTCTTGTATCGTAGCAAAATCGAGAGGCCGTCAATGATGGACGCTCCTCGTCCCAAAAATATGCCGTAATCAATAGTGTATCACTCGTGTAACGTAACGCTGCAGGCGTCAGCACCTTCGCCTAGCTCCAAACAACGCCCGTTCTGTTGGTCGGCCAGCATTTAACCCAGCACGTGGTACGCTCTTAGCACCTGCGCTGAGAAAATAACTCATGGTGTCGTGCGATGAATTTTTTGCACGTGGATGAATTCTGTAGTTTTGTTGAGTTGCATAGGCTACGGTTCTTGCTGAAGGACAACACGAGTCTAGTCTAGACTACTTAGACTACGCACCGGCACCCAAATAAAATTTCACTCACCTGCTGGACCACTCCTGCCCCGCCCATCTCCTGCATACAACACCCACAACCCCAATCCCATCCATTGGAAGCCCCTGGCGTATTGCCGGGGACAGGTATGCATCGATTGGCCGCTGTGCAGGGTATGGTGTCTGCGGCTGTGTTTGTGTGTGTGTTGTGTGATGTCCACGTGGTTTCCAGATGTTCGACATAAGTCCGACCCATTTGGTCGGGACAAGCCAAGTTCGCTCTCTTAAATCCGTACCTTCTCTTTAATATTTTCCCTTAAACCGTAGCCGCTACTGCTGTACTGCGTTTTCGGTCGACGTTCGTTCCGTTTCATTCTTTCCCGTTGCATTTGCTTTTTTCGCGCACGAGGGAGCACGCCCTGCCTTCAGCTCCCACCTACGGCGTATGGATATCTCGAGTTGAAGATGCATAGACTACTGCAGTCATCATGTGATTGCGAAAAAAAAAAAATAGGAGTACTTCTTAGACCTACACTCTCGAGCACAAGATACTAAAAGAGAGGTGATCCTCCCGACGGAAAGCTGATTGCAAGCAGGTGTACTGATCCTCTTGACTGAAGGAGTTTGTCGCCCGCACCAAGGAAGCCCAATACACTGTCGCAGCATCGCAAGCATACCACCTTCGGAGGGATGAAATAGCAACTTTCTCTCTGGCAAACTGTACCAGCTCACTCGCTTCCGAGGGACTATCAAAAATCACTCAATCGGGATTGGTTGCGGCCTACAAGCTCCGTAATAAAACAAAAAGCGGCCGAGTGGTGCAGTTGCATCCTCGTCAGAAACAGTCTGGCTTTCTGTGAGTTCGAATCCCTACAAAGTGAACAAAACACACACACTTCTCGGCGAGAAATACGGGACCCTTCTCGCGTCAAACGATGAAGCCATGCTCCGACTGAGCAACGGGGAGCATCCCTCCTATGCATGCGTGTCCGATACACACGGAAAGGTGGATTTGACGCCGCGCGCAGTTCGCGATTCCCCCTTTTCAGCTTGCTCGGGAATGTTAGGTGTAGGCAGCACACTAGACTACACGTAGACTAGTGCGCTATTTTACGAGATCTGCCGTTCCGCAGCCTTTCGTTGACGGACATAGCGCGCTTGTCTTTTTCATCATGACTTGCTAACCGTCATCGTATCGACATATGTGGTAGACAACCCGCTGCCTTTGTCCCTCGCCGCGCGGCGCGAACATGTAATGTAATTTGTTGATGCTTGGACTCTTTCTTCCTGTTGTACCACAATCTCAAAAGAAAATTCATTCGCCGCCCGCACTTCTCACTTCGTAAGTCTCCCAAAAGAGCGGAGAAAAAACTCATGAAGCCTCGGCAGTTCTATTATAGAGGTTTCACCTCGCGTCAAAGTATCTACTCTATTCGACCATGCGTGTGTGCCGAAACCACCAGGAATCACATCTCAAATCCTAAACCCGACAAGCTACAGTAGAAATATCTGTAGGAGCACGAGGCACCGGGTGGGAAACGATAATCGGTGATCCGAACCCATTGAAACAGGCGATTTTACGCTCAAAGGCCTCGAGTCGCCGTCATCAACAAAAAATGAAGCAAAAGTTTATCCCGAAAGACACATATAGTAACATGAAGTTCCAGGATTTACCTCCGTGTAGTGTACCAACGCCAAAATTAGCGGGACAAAAGGCTCGCGTTCACACATACAGTACACACCGTACACATCCCGCATGGGACGAAAGCGGGAGTAGAATTGTGAACCGAAAATAGAAACTGACAATTAACCCTAAACCGAAAATAGAAACTGACAACATGGCTCTGGATGTTCGACCTTGACGCGTGCTTCATCTCTACCGGATGCCTCAGGCCAACGAGGGAAGGCTGCGGTTAGGCGACGATCATGCAAGGTCCCAGAGAGCCTCCAACCTGGACAAATGCTGCTATTCTTTCACAGCCTCGAAAACCGCCATCTTCACCTGTCTCCGTTAAGTCTTGAACTCTTCGTCTTCGACAGGGGAGCTCCCAGTACAAGCAGAATACTTCTACTGGCCGATTGCCTCCCCGGCCGCGACCGATTCATTCGCCGCGTCATGGAACCTCTGACAATATATATTGTTCATACACCACGCACCTTTCGGTCAACGTCTTGTTATTGTCTAGTCTGCGCCTCCGGCAGCCAGCACGCACGATCACAACACGACAGGGCGGTGAATGGATCAGTCGGCGCCATGGAACCTCCGGCAATCAAAACTGATCACACAAATCTCGCCTAAACGATCAAAACCTCATCTTCGTCTAGTTTGCGCCTTCCACAACAAGCACGCACAATCACAATACGACACATACAAACCGATGAACCACGTGATACTACTTTCTAAGCTGTATAAAGATAGAATCATCTCCATGAGCGTAAGCTATTGCGCGCAAGTGCCGACTTAACACTTTGACGGCAGAATTGTACGTCTGCCCGTAGTGCCGGGGTCATGATACATATTCAATTCCTGTTTCGTCACACCCTCTAAGGGCAACCACCCCCCTGCCGCCCCCCCAAAACTGAACGTTTTTCTTGTAGATGAGCTACAAACACAAACAACACAAATCATGAAACACGACGCGCATGACCTCCCTGGCTGCGACAGACTCCGAACTACAAATATCGACAAGTTACGAATAGTGAAATCGAAATGATGTGCGCAATTTCACCAATAGTATATCCCGAACGTGCTTAAAGAAAACGTTCTTCTTACAAACCGATGAATTAAATGAAATATGACAAAATCAATTGCATCAACAGCAGCACTACTTCCAACCCTATCCCTAAGTACCCAACACGGGGTATGGACTGTGCACGCAAGAAAATAATATCCAATGTGATGAACGCCATTTATCGCCAAAGGAAAAAACCCTTTCTCTGGCACGCTGCCCCAAGAACAGTGAGCAGTGGGAAGCACAAAGCAACGCGTTGGCGGTGAGCGGGGGGTTCCAGCAACAGAAATATCTGAACCATTCTTGGGGAAAAAACGTCCTTCAGAAACAAAAAACGCCTGTCCCAATCGAGAATGCGCCTCATGATGACAAGGGGACATGCACACACACACACACACACACACAGACGGCCGGTTTAAGGTCAATGATCATCTATTAAAAACATACAAAGAGCGGTAAATGCTAACCAAAAAGACGCACAGACACACACCTCTCTCTGTCGCCAGAACCCATTGGCATAAGGAATCATGTTTTCGTTTTTTGTCCAGGAGGAAAGACTGGCGAATTTTCATTGGTCAGCCGCCTAGCGCGGCCGATGCCAATTCAAAGACGCACGCACACGTCCACACCGCGGTCGATGCTAATTTAGAAAGCACATGCACACGCACACCGCACACACTGGTCCTCTTACGGGGATGTGGCCCCGGCGGGCTAGCCTTATTCTTCCGTGTCGAACGCGAAGGGGGCGTACGCCCCCCGGGCGAAGAGCAGAGCACAGGACACCCCGCAGATGGCGCTCGTGGCGGCCCATCTGGCGATGATCTTGAGTACCGTCCTGGTGTTCAGCCGGTCGAGGCCCTTGGGTTTTGGTCGTACGCCGCGGGACATGGACGTGGGGGTGTACTCACCATATTGTGCATGCCTTAGCGGTTGTATCATTCACCTTGGACCCTCCAGACGACGGAACAGCTGAAGGGAGAAACGATTGATCATCGACGATCGATCCCGTGTGAACACGGTATTCGGGGCGTTTGTGTGAAAAACCCGGATGGGATAGGGTACCTGTAGTGAATGCCTACTTTCCACTACGCCAAGGGCAAGTTGTGCGGAGCGTTCCATCGAAGAGCAATTCATTCCCAGCGTTCGGGTACAGGAGGAGGAAGGGAGACTAAGGGGAAGGCGGCCGCGCCTGCTCTCACCTCAAGCAGGGCAACGCCCGAGGTGGCGCCGACCTGGCAGTGTGTAGAGCACAGCGGAACTCCCAGCCTCGTGGCCGTCATCATAACCAGGGCCGCCCCGATCTCTATGCTGAACCCGCGGGACGGTGTGATCTTGGCGATCTTCACGCCGATTGCCGTGATGAGTTTGTGCCCGTACAGCGCCAGCCCGGCTACGACGCCGAAGCCTCCCAGAGCAAGAGCTCTGAAATTATTGAAACGTGTTACGATACGCGGGGGCGGTCAAATGTTGGAGATTCACACCGCCGAATGAATATTTTCCTCTCGATGTTCATACAATGTAGGTAGATTTATTTCAGGGGTGCTCGCCCGTGGCCACAGCAGGCGTCCGCGTCAGTCGGACCATCGCGGATGTTTGACAAATAGAAGGAATGCATTAGCAGAAGTTGGAACGGTTGTTTAAGGTGGAGGCAAGCACAGCGACGGGAACAACAAAACAAAGACTTGGTCTACCGCGCTCGTAACGGAACACGACGACGCACAGCAGCGGGGGTGTACATGGGGCACAGCGAGACGGCATTGTCACGAATGCATGAAACGCTGGCCAGGTTTACCAATATTGTCAGATAATCACTGCTGCAGTCAAGGAGAAAAAATCCGGCAGCGCCCAAACGATTGGATTCTTGCGCAATACTTCCATATTTAGTCAGGGACGCTTGAATGGTGCAAATCTTCACAAGTCGTAGCGGGAAAGTACGGTAGAATAGCGCAATTCTTCGCCTAGAACACCGAACAACATGGACGACAAGAGGGCATGCATTCCACGTTCGACCAGAAACACAATAACCGCGTATGCCTCATGCCTTTTGGGACTTGGAAGAAAAAAAATATCGACAGGCAGCCAATGGCGGAGCGGATATCAACCTACGTCTCTCCGTTGTTGAGTGAAGAAACAGCGCCGCAGGCTTTGCTGAACGTAATCGAGGGTTCTAGCCTTATCGTGGCGTGCTCGTGAGCACTCACAGGTATCCAGGCGCGCCGAGGTCTCTGCCCCTTCGGATTTCCCCATCGACATATACCGTGCAGATGATCTGGAAGGGGCCCATGGAGTTGGCCACGTCGTTAGCTCCGTGAGCGAAGGCGTCGCAGATTGCGCTCATGACCTGGACGTAATTGAACACCTCTGGACGGCGAAGGGTCGGGGGACGCATGCAGGAGGGCCACGGGGTGGGTTCGGTCATTGTCACGCCGTGTTCGTCAGCGCCGCGCACGGTGACAGGCAATTCCTCGAATACATCCATTTTCCATTAATGCTAGACATGAGAGTATGGATGGGGCGCGAAATAAAAAAATGGGGGCGGATGGTCTCAGAATGACCTCGGAATAGGTTTTATTGAATGACGGGTGCAAAGAGACCGAGCGTTCAACACTTCGTCCTTTGGCGTAGACGACATATTTCATGTTTGTCTTTTATGTCAACTCTCCTTTGTCAGCGTTTGACACAAAGGTAGCTTCAACGAACCACGACAGAGCAGAATATATGTGCATGATCAATCAGGACGGGTCACAGAATTACCGGAAAGCACACCTTCTACTCGGGAGTCGAACTGCTCGGCGTTAGAGTGAATCGTGACGACCTCTTCAAAAGTGTCCAAGTAGGCGTGGATGTCACGCTCCAGACGTTTGTCGATGAAGGTCCCGACGCGACTACCGCTGCTACTGTGGCCGCCCTCCAGATCTTCGGGGTCGCACGAGCCGATGTTGCCTGCCTGTTGAGGAGAAAGGGAGGAACAAATGTTTCACTCTCTGCCTGCAGTTGTTCCCGGACTCAAGGTTGTTGTTTCTCGCCCCTTGCCCACGGAATCGTGTAGATCCGTGAAGGCTCCCGAGATACTGTTGGTCTTTGGGATCAAGTATGGACCTGGTGCTGTGGAGGGAGTGAAGAATGTGAACATCGTTCAATCTATGTACGACGGCGGGTGTTGCAAGGTGCTTGATCAATCCATGCGTAGTGTAGAGAAAATGAAGTGGGGTTTTTCGCACGCTACGGCGGGCGCGCGGCAGTTGATTCGTATGTGCTCGGCAGTTAGTGCAAAGTCACTCCCTCGTTTGCGATGCGGGGGTGGTCCGTACGTGTTGCGGCGGACTTTAAGATCGTCATTACCATCGCTACGACGTGTATTCCATCGTTGAATCATGCATGCTTGGGGAGGGAGTGAAAAGATCGGGTGACCATCACCAAGACCGGGAAGATCGGAGACAGCACCCAGGACACCGCGATGGCGGTCAATCCCTTGAAAAAGGGGAAAATGTCGGACTCCCGGTACCATACCACGCACCCCGACCCCGCGTAGCCGACCGTCATTCCGATAATTGCGCCGATTGTGGAATGGTTGGTAGAAACGGGTAGCTCGAGGTAGGACGCGAGCAGGAGCCACATCCCGGTCGTGTAGACGGCGCACATCATGCCGTAGACTACATATCAATCCCAGGGTTGTTCAGGAAGCATTCCACCTTCTTTTGAGAATATTCATGACGCGTGCAAATATTGGTGCGGCAGTCAGGGACCGTTAGGCTCCCTCGCGGCGATTGTAAGGTCGTGTGGAGTGGTTGAAGTGCATCTTGTTGAGAAGCACAGGGGTGATCACAGACACCGACCTTACACAAAGAGTGAAGAGCGGGAGCTGTTGAAGTCATACCCAATGGGAAAGCGGTGTTTTTATTGTGTGACTGGAGCTCCAGATAAGTCGTACATGGCGAAGCTGACACTGCAAGCTACGTACACCTTGAGGAAGATGTTTGCATCTATCCAACAGCGGCAGTTTACTTAAGTGCAGCAGTAGTTCCCGTTCGAGGGATCGGATATTTCCGTGTGAAAAGGGCTAAATCGTTTACCGGAAGGATACGAGTCAGCGCACGGTCCGAGGTCTCCGCACGGTCCGGAGTGGTGCGATGCAAACTATTAGTCTAAATGGCTAAAAGATTTAATTCGATTCCTGCACAGGGTGCGGACTCACCGCACAAGGGTGCAACGACTCGCAATCAAGGGTGGCTGAGTACCAGTGATTCCGGGGTAGCTTTCACCCCTGCAACCAGGCCAGTGCTAGCATGTGAGCTCTGCTTTATGGGTAGGTTATGGTCGCATACCACACATGCGTTTGAAGGAAATGGATCACAGTGTTTCCTTTGGATCGGTAAAGTTGAACATTGTCCATTCAACCAATACTACCGTGTCCGCAGAGGAAGGGTCGCCACCACTAGCCCCCGAGGTCGCGGTACCCCCGGTACTCGAAACCTCCGACATGAATGCCAAGCGATTGTGTGTCGTGTGGCCACAACTCTAGGCAGTCGGTACACAACACAGAGAGAGTCCATGCGACCACCACCACAATGAGGCGAGAACGCGCAGTATTTCTGCGGGAATGCACACACAATGTGGTCGCGCATCACGCCGAACCCAACTGCAGAGCACAACAATGTTTCTTCTCAACACCACAGCAGCATCGGCAATCGGGTGTTTGCGAAAGAGTGAATTGGTTTTGGTCTTGCGGACTACGCAACAGACTGAAACCAAAACCGAATTCGGTCTTGAAAGGGTATGCGAAGAGCAGAACGGGGACTGCGGTCTTTTTCGGGGCGAAAATTGGACACATGAAGATTTTCAAATTCTCTGGCACCCTTACACAAACCAACAGCGATCCTAGACCCACTCCACACACAGCATCAGCAGCTCCCACGACGTAGCATTAGTTGAGCATGGCAGAAAACACCAGTTCGCATAAAGCATCCCGAACTCAAGAAGCGGGCCTCATTCTCTGCCTCGCTGTCTCCGTCCGCAGCCCCCTCCTCTCCGTACTCGAGGAGCATCTTCAGGTGCTTCACAGCTTCGCTGAAGAGGAGGTGGAAACAGATGCTCGTGTCCCAGTAACTGAGCTCCACCATGTCCGCCGCGTGCATCGCACCAGCCCTCTGGTGAAGAGCCGTCTGCCTCACGGTCTTCCAGTTCCCCGACGGAGTCACCATGAGGCTTGCACGGGCGTAATCGCGCAATGCCTTCGCAAGTTCGCGTGCTGCTGGTGCTTCGGGGTAAAAGGAAATTTGCCAGAAACTTGACCACAAAGAGCAAACTGAGCCAAGACCAAAATGGTCTTTTTCTCTGGTCTTTGGGGGCAATTCAGCAAAGCCCGAAGTCCAACATCGACATTGGACCCCCGCCGTCGGATGAGGCTGTTCGGGGTAAAAAAGAAGACCAAAGTCAAGCCATTTCACTCTTTTCGCAAACACCCTAATATCTGCATATCTGAATGTTCTTGAACGACCGGAAAGAGAGCCCACGTGGGGAAAATATTTGGTGCATGTAGCAGTTATGTACGCTGCGGGTAGCACATGTAGACTAGTCTACACATTTTTCTGCAGGAATGGGAAGATTGGAAAAAGCACATATCAGCTCGTGTCTAGTCTACCCATGTAGTCTACTGCGTGCTGCCTCTGTGCATACCTCGGACAGGGCCCATATGCACTTATGCTGCCGTACGCACGTACCAACGAACGGATCGACAGATCGGTGATTTTCGCAAACAATGTTGTCACGCGTCCCCGAAAAAGTATTCCGAGTCGGGGAAATCGCGAATAGTATATCTGAACCAGAGTTTGTTCGGAGGACTGTTGTTGTTGTTGTTGTTGTTGTCTTCACATTAAAAACCGTTCCGGTATCCGCTCAGTACCTTCCGATGTCTGGTCCAACTGACAGTAGTATGTATACGTTTACACATAAATATCCAGATATCTTGCGATATCCAATATGGATAGATTGGCTGCTGGCAGTTGTCCGAAGGGGGCATCTTCGAACGGTCCGTCGCAACGGCTTGCGTGCCGACTGTCAGTTGTTCAGTTGGGGTTATCCGACCCCAACCGAAAGGAACTTATCCCACACTGGCTTCTCCAGCAATTTATTCACAGGATACATGCAGACGTACGTGCCCATTCATTTTCACCGAGGTGACGAGACAGAGCAGCAACGGGGTCTGCACCTTTCTCATCATGTTCACGCACCCCAGCTCCATATTTCCTCCTGCGCGGTGCTTGTCTTGAAGGCCTTAACCAAGACGGGTTCAGAAGCCCCTCCCCTGGTCGCGCTGAGGAATGACACCCTCGTTTCCTTCAAAACTACGCGACCTTTCACTCTGGAGAGAGTCGAACAGGCAGTTTGTTGCAGCCACGATGTCTCGCGGGTTTCCTTGTGTGAATGTCTCGCATTTCATCAGTTTCGTTTCGTGACCAAGGCATCATTCAAAACCATCCTTGCAACCGCGGTAGGCTGCTACGTTTCGTTGTTTGTTTCGAGGGAATCAAACCCTCGGAACGGGATCAATTCCGAGTATATATGGTTCCGGCAAACAGAAACAACGGCAGATCGACGGTGCACGCCGTTTGTACAGGCACTGCTGAATCTCGGGATTGAGAGCCGTTGAAATCTACCGCTGCATGGCAGTAAAAACCGAGTGCGCCCAGAACCAACGCAGGATAGGGCACACATGCATCGTAAACCATTCAAAAAAGGCACCAAACCAAGACCACACCACTGCTACTGCTGTACAACGGACCTTCATTTTTCATCTACCTCGATTCAATAAAAAATATCCACGCGATACATGTCTACCACGGAAGCGAGTCTCTCCTCAGCAGCTGCCGCAGCGCGGCATCGTACGGAGCGTAAAAGTCTCGCAGCCGCCGGCGTACGCCTTCGTCCATCGGGGGGTAGTCCCTGTGGTTCTTTGGGGCTTTGTCTTTCACCGGCGAAGGGGGGAGCCCGACGTGCTCGAAAACGCCTTCCATGGCCTCTTGGAGCGAGTCTTCGGACTATTCGAGGAGGGAGAGAAAAGACGCATGACGGGGGGAGATGGTTTACGCGTGACGGTTTCACTTTGGGGAGGTTACCCAAGAAGGGGACGCGAGGGGGAAGGAGCTTGGAACAAAAAAAACAAGTGTCTTACTGTAGACGCATGCACAGTATGACAGAGTGATGAATTCACATTTGACGCGTCTTCCACCCGAACAGCACCCCCCCCTCGGGGATCGCCTCCCTCCCGGTGTTTACCATCGGAGTTGGGTTTTCGTCGCTTGGCAACGACGTTGTAAAACAAGCCGCCTCCCCCGGTGTTTTCCATCGGGGTTGGGTTTTCGTCACTTGGCAACGACGTTGTAAAACAAGCCCCCCCCCTCCGGTGTTTTGCCCCCCCTGGTGTTTGCCATCGGGATTGGGTTTTCGTCGCTTGGCAACGA